ATTATTTCCCCGCTTTCAGATATTAATATATTAACAGCAGATAATATATGTTAATATATTAACACTACACTCTCAAATGCATTCTAGATATGTTACAGGCCAAATTTGCAAGAGAGATGCTTCTTTCCTGCAGGAACAAATTGCTTCAGTAAATGAAGTTCAAGGTGTAAACTTGGATTCTGGCATTTCTTAGTTGCATCCACAATCAGGTTGATAGAATGGCTCATTTATTATACACCAATTAATCTGGTGGGTATAAAAATGAAGATGCAAAAACAAAGGCCCGGCCTCAACTCATTGGTAGGCTTACCCTCAGTGCATCTTTCCTTTAACTCCAAAGGCCAATGGGAGGCAAACTGCATCAACCAGGTATACCTGGTTTGCTGGCACTCTGGGAAATATTTACAGTAAATGAACATTTGATTGGATCATTTTACTTTTCTCTTTTTCTCCCAGTACAGCAGCAGAATCCTTCTCAGAATGGTCTTGGGGAAGAGCACACTGCTGACTCATATCCATCTTATTGTCCACTGTAATCCCCAGGTCCTTTTCTGCAGAGCTGCTGCCCAGCCAGACAGCCCCCCAGCCTGTACTGGTGCATGGGACTGTTCCCTCCTAAGTGCAGGACTTTGCACTCATCCTTGTTGAACCTCATGAGATTCCTTTTGGCCCAATCCTCCAATTTGTCAAGGTCACCCTGCATCCTAGTTCTACCTTCTAATGTATGTACTACACCCATCAGCTTGGCATCATCCACAACCTTGCTGAGGGTGCAATCCATCCCATCTTCCAAAACATTAATGAAGATGTTGAACAAAACTGGCTCCAGGACTGACCCCTGGGGCACTCCACTTGATACTGGCTACCAACTAGACATCGAAGCATTGATTACTACCTGTTGAGGCCGACAATCCAGCCAGCTTTCTATCCATCTTACAGTCCGCTCATCCAACCCATGCTTCCTCAGCTTGCTTGCAAGAATGCTGTGGGAGACCGTATCAAAAGCCTTGCTAAAGACAAGATATATCACGTCTGCTGTTTTCCACACATCCACAGAGCCATTTATTTCATTTTTGCATCACTGGGTGCATGCACACTAGATGCTGACTGTGCAGTAGCCAAAAAATACTGCATAGTAGTGCATCACACCAAGGACAGTGCTAATATGCTACTGTGCAGTATTAGGCTACTGCACAGTAGCGTCACCTAAAAAACGTTCACTGGTGTTATCCAAATTGGCACTATTGTGTAGTAACTCTGGTTACTGCGCATTTATTTAGTACTTGCTAATACAAGTACTAAAATGAGTGCACAGTAATGGAGTCGTGCCCACTGTCTCTACTGGTTGAAATGGGAACTGCTCAACTGAGCATCAAAAGTATTTTCCTGAAAAACGTTGAAGTCATTTTCACTTGGAAGGGATTAAAAGAAGCACAATTTTATGTTATTTTCAAAACAATAGGATACAGTTCAACAAAGACAAGTGCAAAGTGCTGCATCTAGGGAGAAGGAATCACCAACACATCTATAGGCTAGGGGATGACCTTCTCAGCAACACAGCAGCAGAAAGGGATCTTGGAGTCATAGTTGACTCCAAGCTGAATCTGAGCCGTCAATGTGACAAAAAAATCAGTAAAGCTAACTGCACTCTATCATGCATTAGCAGGTGCATCACGAACAGGTCCAGGGAGGTGATGCTTCCCCTCTATGCAGCATTGGTCAAGCCACAGTTGAAGTACTGCATCCAGTTCTGGCTGCCACACTTTAAGAGGGTTGTAGAGAACCTTGAGAGGGTCCAGACGAGGGTCACTCATATGGTTAGGGGCCTGCAGGTAAGCCCCTACGAGGAGAGATGGAGGGACCTGGATCTCTTCAGCCTTCACAAGAGAAGGCTGAGAGTGGATCTTGTAGCTGTTTACAAATTCAATCAGGGAGGAAGGAGAGGAGGGGAGCAAGAAATAAGAGATGCTGTTTACCAGGGCACCCCATTGGAATAACCAGGAACAGCCACAAACTGACAGAGACCAGATTTAGGTTGGACATCAGGAAGAACTTTATGGTGAGGGCTGCCAGAATCTGGAATGGGCTTCCAAGGGAGGTGGTGCTCTCCCCTACCCTGGAGGTCTTTGAGAGGAGACTGGACAAGCACCTGGCTGGGGTCATCTGACCCCAGCGCTCTTAACTGCCCAGGGCAGGAGGTCGGACTCAATGATCTATTGAGGTCCCTTCTGACCATAACAACTATGAAGTGCCATTAGCAGCAGGTAGAAATAATTTAACACTTCAGTGTTTTCTTTAAAACTTAGTATTAAAAATTAGATTAAAATGTCATTAATTTTTTGACAAAAATACAAACCTAATCAACTGCTCCTTGGAACAGCAATTTCTAGAGGACAAGTTCTTCTCAATTTAGTCCTCAGTTGCATGTGCACTACACATTATAATTGTTGGCAGCCAAATCTCTTAATTCACTAAAGCCATAGGACTTCTGGCTGTGCCCTAGCCAGGTGTGAGGCTTGTTGCTCTTTGCTTTGCCAGCTTGTTCCAACACCTTCTCCCTGGCCTTGTGCTTTCTGACAGTGACTCACCTCGAATTCCTTCCTCAAAGTTTTTCCTTTCTTTTTAAGTGACTGGGATGTTGGCAGTCAGGGTAGGTCATGTGGGTAGCAAGGACAAGGTCCAGAAGCTGAGGTCAGGAACCAAGTCATGAGGCAAGTGGAGTCCAGAGGCAAGCCAGGTCAGGAACCAATGCCAGGAGTGGAGAGATGAAGTCAGAAGCTAAGGTCAGAAGCTAGAGGCAGGATTGCAAAGAAGATCCAAGTAAGCTAAAGGCAGAGCAAGGCAGTCTGCTGTTTGGGCAGCATGCTGCTATCTGCTTTGAGCTTATAAGGTCTTGTACAAGCAGGGCCCTCTTTCTGTAGCTGAGGATGACTCAGCCTGCTCTCAGACTACTTCCAACTGGGACCTGGGTTTAAGTCTTCTCCAGTGGTGGTAGATTTATTATACTCTCCTTCCTGAGACATTCACAAACCTCCTTTTCTTCTACACTGGTCTCCTCCCGCCCCAGGGTACCCCATGGGTCTACATTCCCTGTACATTCACAGCAGTGATTCTCAACCATCATGCCACAACACCCTGAGATGCCTTGAGATCCTTTCAAGAGTACCTTGGGATGCCAAGCAATGTTAGCCCTGTTAGGCATGCACACAGGACAGCAATGTTAGCCCTGTTAGGCATGCACACAGCACTCACAGGAAAAACCCAGAATTTTCAAATAGGAATCCATACTGTCAAAAACATTCTGACCTGCTATGATCTTTCTGAGTTCTTCCAGACAGAAGAATTGCACTATCATTTTTCTGTAGTCAAAAATGAGAGAAAATGAAGCCCTGGCATTTTCCAAGGTGTGCCTTGAGTCTATAAAGGGGTGCCTTGAGTCCAAAAAGGTTGAGAACCACCGCTCTACAGCTTCCCCTGCTTAAGACATCTTTTACTCCTGCCAAGGTTTCTGCTTTACCCTATCCAACCATCCTTCTTCCCTCAATGCCACATCCCATCTTCTCCTCTTGCTGCTTTCGCTTTTCCTGGTCGCCTCTTCTCTCTTACAGGAGCCTCTGAAGTGAGGTAACTTCATAGGCAGTGAGATCATGAATACCCAGGAGATTTTCAAAACAATCTAGAAGATGTGGATGCATCTTCTATTACAGTAGTGCTTAAGCTATGGACCGCAGACCAGATCTGATCCCTGAAATGACTGGATATGGCCCACAGCACAGATCAGCAGCAACTAGCTCAGCCTCGCGTACTCCTTTTTCTGTCCTGTGCCATGCTGTGGATCCCCTTCACAGCCCTCCTTCCTCTCTCCCTCTCCTCTCCCTGGACCTACACCAGGTGCTATTTACTCTCTCACTCTCTTTCTCCTTCCCCTGTCCCTAAGCAGGTACTGCTTACCTAAGATAATCTCTCTCCCTTCCCTCTCCTCCCTTTTGTCAGAGGCTGTTTACCAGAGATAAAATAAACTCCTCTTCTCTCCTCTACTTCTTCCCTCCCTCTGACATTGGCAGCTATCCCCTCCCTGCATCTGTCTTCACCACCCCCGCCTTCCCAGAAGATAGTGGTGCCATACAAAGAGAGACTAAAACGGCTAGGACTCTTCTGTTTGAAAAGGAGAAGCCTGAGGGGGCTATGATAAGAGGTCTATAAAATCATGAAGGATGTGGACCAAGTGAACAGAGAAGTGTTGTTCACCAAGTCTCAGAATACTAGAACTAAGGGACACCTGCTGAAATTAGTACATGACAGGTTTAAAACAAACAAAAGAAAGTACTTTTTCAAGCAACATGTAGTTAACTTCTGAAACTGATTGACACAGGAGGTTGGGAAGGCAGACAGCATAGCCAGGTTCAAAAAGCAACTGGATGAATTTGTGGATGATAGCTCTATTAATGGCAACTGAACAGAATGGTTGGAGATAGTTCCTCTGGCATCTCTAAACTAATAACGGGGAATGCCAGGGAAGATACTGAATAGGGGATAGACCACCTCTAGAGATATCTGGTTTAATGCTCTCCCTCTATAGCATCCATTTCTTTCACTGTTGGATACAGAATACTGGGCTAGATGGACCATTGATCTGACCCAAAATGGCACTTCTGACATTCTTATGTTCTTAACAAAACAAAGAATAAAAATAATATTCCACTATCAAACTCCTACCAAAATAGTAGAGAGTTTTTAAAAGGAATCTTCAGTTCTTCTCTTGCTGGTGCTCACTTGCCTCATGCCGGGCCTATCACAAGTTACATGGAACAAATAGCTAATAAGTTCCTTTCTGATAAATTTGCTTTGGACACATCTTGTAGGCCTTTGATGTCTATGCCATGAGTCACATGTTGCTCTCAGTTATTCCCTGTTCACATTGATAACTCCACTGTTATCATTTGCTCCAGAATGACAAATAGGCAACTGAGGATAGTATAACCTCACAGCTGTGTTCTCACCTGACTCGCAGCAAAACCTGCAAAAAGTACACTGAGAAATTCTTCTTCCGGTATAAGGCAAGCTGTTCTCCTGTCCACATTGCAGGCCAGTGATGAAACCTCTGCTTGGGGTGGCTGTACAGGATCTATAAATGGGTACAAATTGAATAGGTCCCTCTTTTAAAAAAATATTTCAACTTCAGGTGGGAAACAATCATCCAGAGATTTCAAGGATAGGGTTCTCATGCTAAGAACCTGCTACATAAGGTGTTACAATGCTCAACTTTTAGGGAATCTGCTGCCTAATGGAATTCACAACCTAAAATTAAGGACCCAGAATGTGATTAAACTGTTATTAGATTAACAACAACACACCACATCAATCAACACGATCGCTGCTAGGGGCAGGGCAGTTAATATGCACTAGTTGCGCTTAATGTCTTATGAACTTTAAAACCATTGCAGAACTGCTGTACCAGGGATAAAGCTATCCAGCTATAAATATTCAGAAATCATTTGTTTCTATATTGAGAGCATGCAGAATATTTTATGCATCTCATATCAGGATTTGGAAAACACTAATAAAGATTTAATAATGGGCATCTCAAATCAGTGAGTAATGCCAGGAAACAATGAGAGTGGGTTCCGTTTTCAGACTATATCTTTTGCCCACCCAGAGAAGTGAAAGGGTGACAGAGATGTATGTCCTCTGAGGAGGGGCTGAGGTGTCCTGCCAGTGGTGGAACCAGGGCAGGGAGACTGAAGCAGATGCCCAGGGTGTTGACTGGGGGGTTGGGGGTGGGAGTGGGGACAGAAAAGAAACACCTGTTGCTGCAGCCATGCAACTGTACTGGTGGTGGCAGCAACCAGAAGTTGCCGCTGCCCCTTTGCATGGCAAGTTGTTCCAGGTGCCCAGCCATGTGATTAACAACTTTGTGTCTAGGTCAATGCTCACATTATCAAGACTGATTTTAGAAAGGTCCAGATACTTAATTTCATCTGCCTAAACCCATAGCTTAGATTGGCCAGAAGGCAGCCTTATGTGAGAGGCTAAAATTTCCCAGCTAGCAGGAAGTAGAGTCCTCAGCTACTTTTCAAGATTTACTTCTTTATATGCTCACTATGGGCTTCTACAGGCACATGGGGAGCCTGCTCCAACCTGCTAGAAATCAGCACATTGGAGCAGACTTGATTAATCAAGCGCAGAAACTCAAAGACAGAAATTGATGCGCTCCAGCAGCCTTCCACATCATATACATCAGTGTCCCCATGCTGAAAAAATGGTGGCAGGGCGCATTGAAAGCAAACACGTTTGATGAGCTTTAAGTCAAAGTGCCCCGCCACCATTTTTTCAGTGTGGGAATGCTGATACACGACAGGGGTGCTTTTAATTAGCATGGCTCACTAATTAAAGCGCCCAGTGCTGCCACGCCCCAGAGCACATGTAAAAATGCCCTATGATTTGCAGCTCAGACAGAAATTTTAGATGGAAGAGATTTACACTGGTTATTCCACAAATACAGATTAGGAAATGATTGGCTATGCTGCAGTACCCTGAAATACTGCAGAGAACGACCTGGAGGTTACAGTAGACCAGAAGCTGAATATGAGCCAACAGTATGCTCTTGTTGCAAAAACAGCCAGCAGCATACTGGGAGTGTCACTTGCAAATGGAAGGAAGTGATTCTTGCACTCTGTTTGGCAATGATGAGGCCTTACCTGGAGTACTGTGTCCAGTGGTGGGCCCCACACGTCAAGAAAGATGTGAACAGCTTAAACACATTAGTAACAGAGAGAGGTAGTTAGCCACGCTAGTCTAGAATTAGGCAGAAGGCAGGACAGGGTGGCACCTAATAGACTAACTCATTCAGAAAGGCATGAGCTTTCAGTGGCTACAGGCTACTTTGTCAGATGCTATAAATGGACTTGCAGAAAGCAGAGGTACTAAATAGAAAGAAATGAAGTCAGCGCCAACCTGCTACAATAACACACCATCCCATGACAAGGAAGTTGATGTCACCCAGAGCCCTGAGCTTAAACACCATGGGCAGATCATTAACGACGTTTACCCCCTCCTGTAAAATGATGACCACCTCTTGTGCGGTTGTGGGCAGCTAGATAAGCATTGACATAAATGTTTGTTCTTATGCTTTTGGCATATGGCAATAAAAGGTTAAATAATAGATGCGTCTGTTGCTTCTTTTCTGGCTGGGTGGTGATAATTAAGGGGACTGTAAAGGTACCTTAATTTTGCATCAAAGGGTTAATCATTAAGGGAATTGTAGCTGTCACTTAATTCTGTGTTTAGGCATGCAAAATAGGTCCCAATTGTAGGCAGGCTGTAGTCTGGTCTTTAAAAGCCAAATGGTCCCAATTTTTGGTACATATGCAGATGCTGTAGGCAATTAAAATATTTATTATGTATCCTGATCACTGTTAGAGCTATTTATCTTCCCCTGTCACAAGCAGAGCTGTGGTAACTTGACAATATGACTGGTCCTTTTTTATGTTGTTTACAGTAAAAACAAACTGGCCAAACTAACCAACCAGATAGGATGGACCCAAAGAACCACCCTTCTGGCTCACAGCAGAAGTCCATGAACCAGCCCAGAAATCTGGAACCAGCTAAAGCAAATAAGTTCAGAATAATTCCCTCTGCTGGGGATTTACCATAGCCTGCTAATGTTGTCTTCATCCAGTTTGCTGCTGCATGGCCTTCAGTTGCCAGCTTCTAAGAGGTGCACTGCCACCAATCAACCAAGATAAGGAAAGTCCAAGAATAACAGATCCCATCATGACCCTCAGTAAAACCTATTCTTAGTCAAGAATGAAAACAATTAGATTTTAACAAAAACCCTACAGTTGATTTTGCACTTGATTACCAAATCTGGGGCTGCTAACTTCCAGGCAGATGAGGCCGAGAGGTAAAACAAGGCAGTTTTGCGTCCTGGGGAGGGGCAACACTTAGGGCAGTACTAGCTGCTGTGGTGCTGTTGGTGGCAGTGGCTATTTTTGCACTCCTCCTTCCCCCCAACATCTCCACAAAAGCAGTATCTGGGGCTATTGCCCAGGTCATACATGCACCCTTAATTAAGCTACTGGTGAAGCCCATTTTCTCCACTGAATAGCTCCCATGAAGTCACAAACATGCCACCCACTTTTGCCCATCTACAACTACATAGCAAGTTTAGTTTAGCACTGTTTGTGAACGTGGGGCACAACAAAACTTTGGATGGCGCAGCCTGGGGCACTCTTCAGGTATGGAAGTACTAATGCTTGAAGCCCTTTCAAAAGAGGAACCTTTCAAGAGGGGACCAGTGGTTAGTATGTTGTAATTATTATGTATGAAGAAGCAGAAATGAATCAAATGTTGCAAAACATGCTCCAACTTTAATATTCCTTCACTGAGGGTTCAAGTTGTAACAGTTCTGCTACATTTGAATTGTTCTCAGCTCCTTCACACATAACAATTAGAATACACCAGCTATTGTATTTTTGACACATTCCCCTTTTAAAAGGGCTCCAAGAGTTCCTGTATGGGACTCCTGGGCTCTCGGCAAATTAGACCTATTTGCAGATACAAACAAACTCTCCATTCTCCCACTTCACCTACAGGGGGAACCAAAGAACTTGTTTCAACAAAACAGTAGCCTAAAAGCTTACACCAAACTATCTATTTACCTATTTGATCAAAAAGTCCTGTTTTGAGTAAAAAAAAGAATTAAATGAAACAATTCCATTAAGAACCCAACAAAACATTTTGATCTTTCAAATAAATATTTTAAGTGAATGCTTTCATCTCATTTCAAATTGAAAGTTTTGTCTGGGCTCTCGTTTTCAAACTTTTTTTTTTTTTTTTAAGAATAGCCCTATGAAATTAAATGGCAGCTTTTTAATTTTGGATCAAGCATTTTTCATTAAAAAAATTGAAAAGCTTGTCAAATTGTTTTCACAAAAAAATCACCAGAACTGCACTTTGATAAAAAAAATACTAGATCCTAATAAAGACTGCAGGCAAGTTGGAGCAAGCTGAAGTTGGCTTTGGTTTCTCTACTGCTGCCTGGTTAAACAGGCTGAGCAAAGATCAGTAATTGAAGCTCAGTTCCTGTCTGAAATCCCACTGGTGTGGGTTTTCCAAGGGAGGTCGCTGGTCCCTAGACAGGTGACAGAGACCTAGCAGCACAGCTCTGTGCCCAAGGCAGCCTCTTGGTGCCCAGGGTTGTGCCAGCTCTTTCCATGTGAACTGTGCCGCCACCGCAGCAATGGCTGCTTTTGCATTGCTCCCCCTGCAACAAAGACAGCTCCTGGGGCTGCTGCCTCAGTTGCGCCCTTCCCCAGTTATATTACCGGCAGTTGGCAATGGCCTGCTCACACATTTTTCAAGAGTGTGACATGCAAGATTCCCAAAATATAAATGCAGGAAACGAGCACACAGAATCAGAATCCCAGCAACCATCGCTATAAGCAGGGGTTATCATAGTATCATAGTAGCTAGGGTCAGGAGGGACCTGAACAGATCATCTAGCCTGCCCCCTGCCACAGGCAGGAACAAATGCTGGATTCACAAGACCCCAGACAGGTGATCGTCCAACCTCCTCTTGAATTTGCCCAAGGTAGGGGTGAGGACTTCCCTGGGAAGTTGGTTCCAGATTTTGGCCACCCTAACTGTAAAATATTGCCTTCTGATCTCCAACCTAAACCTATTCTCCATCAGCTTATTACCATTGTTCCTCGTCACCCCAGGTGGTGCTGGGGAGAAAAGAGCTCTGCCTATTTGCTGTTGATCCCCCTTGGTGAGCTTGTAGGCAGCCACCAGGTCCCCCCTCAGCCTCCTCTTGCTGAGGCTGAACAGG